AGGCGGTGGATTACAAAAGGTTTTTAAGAACAAATGTTCTTAGTACGGTACAGGTGCACCTTTTCTTTTGAAAGTGCTTCAATGCCAGGCTGTGGAGGCTGTGCAGATCTGTGCCCTGAATGCTTTGGGGGTCTCTGAAGCAGTGTCTTACCAGTGATGTTACTTACATGTGTTGCAATGGGTTGCCTTGCTTAGTGATATCTCTGGGCTGCACTCCCAAGATACTAGCTGCAAGAACCAGAAATGTCTCCAGATATTGACAAATTTTCCCTGTGGGTGGAGAGACAGGATCGAACCTCTGTTGAGCATTGTTGCTTTGAAGGGTTAGCTGTTACGTAAATACACATTTTATGCCACCTGTAAAAACCACCTGTATAGCAACTCAGAAACTGTATAGTCCTTACTGGTGTTTAAAGCCTCTGTCTGACCTTCCAGTACTTGGGATTGTAAGTTATTGTAGATGTAATACATACAATTAATACATACATGCTCCATACACAATTTAATGTGAATAGCATTTGACTCATCCAAGAAGATATTAAACCAGCTTAAACTTGTCATCCAGTTATTGTTTCATAACTGCTAGCACTATTTACAAGTGTTGGGCTGGATATATTTTAAAGCAATAATCCTTAAGATAAGGCCCCACAGAATTATAATTCTACCCAGGCAACGCCAAGGTATAACTAGCCCTGTACACAGAAAGGTTGATCCCTAAAAGGTAAAAGAAAGGAAAAAATATTTAAAAGTTAATTTTTGAAAGATTTATTTATTTTTAATTGGAAAGGCAGACATACAGAGAGAAGGAGAGTCAGAAAAATCTTTCATCCACTGGTTCACTCCCCAAGTGGCCACAATAGCTGGAGCTGAGCCAATCCGAAGCCAGGAGCCAGGAACTTCTTCCAGGTCTCCCACGTGTGTGCAGAGTCCCAAGGTTTTGGGCCGTCCTCCATTGCTCTCCCAGGCCACATGCAGGGAGCTGGATGGGAAGTAAGTGAAACTGCCCAGATATGAACTAGCGCCCATATATGAACTAGCGCCCATATGGGTTCCCCACGCAGGCAAGGCAAGGACTTCAGCTACTAGGATATGGCGCATTGTCCAAAACCTAACATTTAAAAATAAAAAAGCGCTACTGATAATTAACCATTATTTTACAATAGACATTTCTCCACCTTTAAACCCAAAAGAATTTCCTTCGCTTAACAACATAAGCAATTTGGTATCATTTTCAAATGTCATTTAGGAAATAACTGGCAAATAATCGCAAAATAACAAGATATCCTGATCTCTTAAAATGAGGTCACTATTTTCACTGTAATCCTTTTCTTTTTCCCGTTTAATTTTACGGGAAATCTACACGACATTTCCCACACACCTCCACACAGAGAGAGGCTCTCTGGTCCTTGTGAGGGCACATACTGGCAAGGGAGGAAAACGTGGACTCCAATCGTAAGCCTTAGCAATGCCTTGGGATGGGCGGTACTTTCAAACACGATATTGAATTCATTCCCGAATCTGAGGATCTGAACCACCAAGTACATCACCAAACATCCATCTACTGTTTTCATGTGAAAATCAAAACGCTTGATTCGCGAATAAATCAGAGTGGGAAATTTGAAATGCTGTTGTTTCCAAGACTGTGAAAGGCCTTTGTGCAATCTAGGTTACTATTACAATACTCAGAAAAAATTCAAGCTACAGAAATGAAAGCCAGTCCTCACCAGCCATCCTGGTTTTGGGGCTCAGGAGGCGATTGGGAAGACCTGTGCCCCACCCCCAATCCAAGAGGACTTGCAAAAGCAGAGACCTGGGTAACTGCCCCCCCTGTGACTCTCAGTGTCAGCAGAGAGTCTGTAACCTGAAATTCAGACAGAATCCTTGAGTGCCTTGGTACAGCCCTTGACTGTGTGAAGTCGCATGGAGAGGCTGCAAGGAACCCAGAAGAGGCCTGGTTTTGCCTCCTAGGCCTGGGGCAGACATGCCCTTAAAACCGGGGCAGGGGCAGGATGAGGTGGAAGATTGCACGCACCTGCAAACACGCAGGGCTTCGGCCAGAAACTTGGGGGGTCACGTAGCCTACTCAAATCAGCACCTGCGGTGACACCCAGAATCTGTCCTTGTGCATCATCCTTTGCTTGTTTCCTTCTCCGCATTTGCCTACCCCCCCCCCCTAAAAAAATTCTAGCTTTGGGGAAGGCAGGCTTACGCTCTAGTTAAGCATCTGCCCAAATTAGAAGCCGCAAAATAACCCACAGAAAGTGGCGCAGCCCACTCTGACCCCAACTGGCTAGAGGTGTGGAGTGGGCATGGCGGGCCGTCTGCTGTGTGGACAGGCCAGCAGAATGGTGGGTTTTTGTACAACCCCAGCTTGCTGTAAACTGAGCAAAGGCCACGCTAAGGTGCTACAACCACGGGAACAAGCAAGAGGAAAGTGGTGAGGGTGCCGGTCTTCAGTTTGGGGTCATTTCCAGAGACCCCTGCCAAGCTTCTCCGTTTGCCAAAGCTTTAGACTTAAGGTTTCTTGCTGCGTCTTTGCCTCCGAGGAATCAGCCAACAAATGACTCCAAGGAGCCGGCCATGGGCAGTTCATTTCCTCAAAAGCTGATAAAGTTAAGTCAAGGGGCTTGCGGATCAGGTCTCCTAAGAGACCCCCGATCACTTAGCCCTTTCCTTGCGCCGGGCCGCCGGGGCGACCGGAGTCCGGTATTCTGCAGTCAGTGCGCTGCGGGCGCGGCTCCAACGCTTCCAGCTGGGCCCTCGGCGCCGCTAGAACTACTGCCCAAAAACTAGGCCCTGGGGTCAACACTCCCATCCCGGATGGCGCGTCTAGACTAGGAATTTGAACGCAAACTGTTCCCAAGGGTCAGAGCCTCACCCAAGCAGCTCAGCACAGCGGCCCCGGGGGCGGCACAGCATCCCCGAGCATCCCCGGCCTCGCCCGCCGCCACCGGCTTAGCGCGGGGACTGAGCTCCGCTCTGCGCAGGAGGTGAAGGGTCCCGGCGGACTCGTGGCCTCCCTCCTCTGGGACTGCGGGGTTCGGCCACTGGGAGAGCCGGCTGGAGAGCGGTCAGGCCGCCTCCGGAGGGAAAAGCAGCCGGAAGCACTGACGCCGCTGTCTTCCCCGAGGTCTGGGAAACCCAGTTCTGCCGGGGTCTGGCCTTGTCCCTCGGATTGCCCTCGGCCTCCGGGTCCCCGTGCCGCGCGCGGTGCTCGGCACTCCAGACTGTCCCTCCGGCTGAGTCAGAAGGCCCCCGGAGCTAGGCAAAGTTCACGCCTGGCCATTATCCTCGCCGTCCTCTATATTTTGCCCCTGCCCTGTCTCATTTCAGGAAAAAAAAAAAAAAAGACAAAACGAAACAGCTCGTGGAAAAGAAAACCCTTCTGTGCAGGCGGCTGACAGTGTCGCAGAAATGATGCGAAATGGTTGCAGGGCTTTTTCTTCCGCTCTGCTAATTTTTTTTTTCTTCTTTGAGTGAATTGCGAAGATCTGTGAAAATAATATCAGGGTTTTCCGTCAGAACGAGCTTGGCCCCGCACTCAGGCGTGGCGTGATCTGACCCGACACCTCCAACCATCTGTGCTATCTATCTGCCTTCTGATTTACCGGGAATGAGCACGCTGCGCACACACTGTGCTTGATACCGCGGAGAGAGGCGCAGACCCAGTCTAGCTCCGAGGGGCGCGCGCCCCTCCCGCCTCGCGCCGCCCAGACCCCAGGGATCCCTAGGGTCCCCGGCTCCCACCACCTACTGTTTCCTTCAAAGGCCCAGGCAGGTCAAGGTTTCTCTGCTCCAGGGCCCAGAAAGCTGTAGGATGCATATAACCAATACAAGTTGCCTATTCAGCCTGCCGAGTCCAGGAAGCTGCTTGTCCCTCCGAGAAGGGTGGGTGTCCAGCGGCTGGGGCGAGAGCGGGGGCACTCTGCGTTCCCGGACTGACTTGCTGTGGGTTAAAAGTCTGCACAGCTCTGCCTGTAAGGGCGTTGTGTTCTAACCCAGGCGGGGGGGGGGGGGGGGGGAGGTATAAATCGATAGTGCTAAAACGGTCTTTGAAATAAGCACTGAAGTTGCTGTCCTGACCTCCCCGTGACTTCTCGCTCCAGAAGCGGCTGCGCCGCGCCTTCCTCCAAGTTCATCCCACGAGAGGAGCGAACTACAGTCGCACAAGCTGTATTTGGGAGAAAAGCCCCTCCAGCCCCCTTTTCCTCCAAAATGCTTGACCTATCAGCACCTGTGTGGATGGGGAGTGTGGCCCTGGCGTTGCTCTCAAATCCAGTTGCTGCCTGTAGGGGTTCTTGGAGGGGCCGAGACCTGCAAATCCCAGGTCCTGCTCCTTCTGTTCGGATTTGCTTCGCGTTCAGCTGCTCGGGCAGCTGGAGCAGGACTGGCAGAGACCCTGCCCTCTCCCTTTCCCTGCACTCCCCCCGCAAGGTTTGCTTTTTCCCTTACAACGAAAGGTATACATTCTCGGGAAAATTTCGATTTGGCCCAGGCCTCTTTGTCCTCTGGAGACCTCTCTACCAAGGCCGCGCGTTGCCCAAAGTGAATTCCCTTCCAGTAGCACCACTGGAGGTTGGGAGGGAGGAGGAGGGCTGGGGGGCGGAGGCAGGGGAAGGGTTGAGAGCTAGCCGCTCCGGGCGCAGTCTTTCTGCAGCCACACGTCCTTTCCGCCTCCACATTGCTGCGAGATACCCAGGGAACGTCCACGGGCGAGCGGCTGGCGCTGTCGAGCGCGGGGAGGTGCTGAAATAGCCCTGGCCGCAGCCTTGATTGGCAGAGCTGGCAGGTGACTGACAGGGGTCTCCATGGCGCCCGCGCGACCAGTCCGCCCACCCCAATAGCTGCGGCGGCTCGCCACCCTGCGTGCCCCAGCGGAGTCTAGCCGTTCCCGAGCCGCGAAGCCCGCACCTCCTGCAGTCGGGATCAGCTCGGTCCCCGCCAACGCGCCACCACCGCCCAGGGCCGTGTGATCCGGCAGTCCCCAAGCAGCCTAGCCCCCAAGAGCCCGGCGCACCCGGCTGGGCCCGCGGGTGTCTGCTGCACGTCCCGCTCCGGCCTCAGTGTCTCCGCCGCCGGCCCCGCCTCGATGTTCCAGCTGCCCATCTTGAATTTCAGCCCCCAGCAAGTGGCCGGGGTATGCGAGACCCTGGAGGAGAGCGGCGACGTGGAGCGCTTGGGTCGCTTCCTGTGGTCGCTGCCCGTCGCCCCTGCGGCCTGCGAGGCCCTCAACAAGAATGAGTCGGTGCTCCGCGCGCGAGCCATCGTGGCCTTTCACGGCGGCAACTACCGCGAGCTCTATCACATCCTGGAAAACCACAAGTTCACCAAGGAGTCTCATGCCAAGCTCCAGGCGCTGTGGCTCGAGGCGCACTACCAGGAGGCAGAGAAGCTGCGCGGCCGGCCGCTGGGGCCGGTGGACAAGTACCGCGTCCGGAAGAAGTTCCCGCTGCCGCGTACCATTTGGGACGGCGAACAGAAGACGCACTGTTTCAAGGAGCGCACGCGGCACCTGCTGCGCGAGTGGTACCTGCAGGACCCGTACCCCAACCCCAGCAAAAAGCGTGAGCTCGCCCAGGCAACAGGACTGACCCCCACGCAGGTGGGCAACTGGTTCAAAAACCGCCGACAAAGGGATCGGGCGGCTGCAGCCAAGAACAGGTCTGTATCTAGACAGAGGCCTCCCCGCTCTGCGATCTCGGCTCCAGGGAGGGGGCACAGCTAGGCACTGAGGGCGCCCTTACATGGTACCTGGCGATTGAGTCGGCAAGAACTAGGGATGCAGTTGTCTTTGGTAGTTAGCCCCCTGCGTTCTGGGATCCCGAATGGGAAGTTTCCCTCTGGGTTCCTGCGCTCTCTCTCTCTCTCTCTCTCCTTCTCCTGGGGGGGGGGGGCTGCAACAATTGGTCCAGGGGTCACCAAACCAAGGCTGGGAGTCAGCATGAGGAGAGACAAGTAGCAATTTTAAATTCCATAAACAATTAGGGAGTCCAAGGCCACAGCTGATTCTTGTCTGCGTGGGCCCTAGCCCCTGGTAGGTGAAGCCTGGCTTATTAGCAGTGTGGCGGTTTCCTGCCAATTATCTATCATCTTTAGCGGCCACGTGCATTGCTCCCTATTGCTTTGAAAACAGTTTTCGTTGGGGCCCCATTTCGGAGAAGTGGAAAGGGCAGTTTTGTTCTCCCCTGCTATCCCGCCACTCCGCCCCCCTCTCTCCCCGCCTCCACGTTTTGAGTGTGCATCTCGGTCAGTGGAACATCTGGGCCAAGAGCATATAGTCTGGTACTCAGGTCCCAAACTCTTCGTGCGAACCTGAGCAGCCCTTTGTGCCTGTAGCTTGGTGAATTTGGCTCTAGAGATAATAACTGAGGCTTACGTCCCAGGCAGGAACCGCCTAGGGCAGGGAGCCCAGGGTCCAGAAGCCTGACCAGTTCTGGGACCCATGCTTCTGACGCTTCTAGCTGGGCAAGCCCCTGGGAGCCCAAGGTCTCAAAGATCAGGGAGGAAGGGCGAGAGGAGGGTGGCTTGTCTTCCCTGGCCTGTCTCTCGCACCCTCAGCCCCGGGGTCTGGAGGAGAGCTCCGGACCGCCACGGGAAAGGCCCTGTTAACACGCGATGACCCATGTCTCCTTCCTTCCCAGACTCCAGCAGCAAGTTCTCTCTCAAGGCTCCGGGCGGGCGCTGCGAGCCGAGGGCGAGGGCATATCCGAGGTGCTGGGCGTCGCTGCCAGCCCGGCCGCCAGTCTATCCAGCAAGGCAGCCACATCGGCCATCTCCATCACATCCAGCGACAGTGAGTGCGACATTTGAGCTGCCCGCCACTTGACACAAACAGAATCCAGAGGTTTAAAGAAAAAAAAAAAATCAAAAGCGAGATACACACGCGAGGAAAGGGACCATCAACCCCAGCACCAGGGAGGCCAGTGGCCACGGGTCCACGGGCTCAGGCTTCCGGTCCGGCCCGCGGCCAGCCTGGCCTAGCCCGTCCACCACCGCCACGGCCCGTGGTGAGGCCTGGCCCAGCGCTGCGTTCTCTTCCTTTTTGCTTTCTCGGGATGGTTTTGCTGCAAAGAGGCCTTCGAAATGCGAACTGCACGCCGGCGAGCTCCGAGTCTCCCGTGGGTATTTCATGTCGAAAGAACACTGTTAAGTATGTATAACTTTTGCTTTAAAGGCGTTTTTTTTTTTTTTATAAAACAAAACATACATATGCTGTTTATTTACTTATTTAAGAGACTGCCGTGGTAGGTTTCTCTGCTGCTTGGGAAACTTGCTGTTTCTAAACCCATAGGCTGGTGTGTTCTGTGTGGAGAAACCAAACAATAAAACAACCTGGTGGGCAACCTTTCTTAAGCATGGGAGCTGCTCTTGGATTCCTACAACACAGAAGCCTGCACCATTCCCTTCCTCAAGCAAGCTGGGGCCCGTGCAAATGATCTCCCAGGAAGGCCTTCCTTCTGCAAGTGTTTCTGCCTTGGCTGGTATCTCCTAGGCTGGTGTTAAAGCAGTGGGAGGCAGGTCCATAACCCCGTCACCTGCATTATGAGGTGTTTAAGCCTAGCAGTTGGCAATGCCAAAATCCCCAGTAAGGTCCCTGTGGTCTGTGCACCTGCCACTTATTTCCACGAGATATTCACAGCTCTATTGTGACAATTTAGGAAGCCTCGCTTCACAGAAATGCAAGACCCTGAGGTGGCATCTCCTTTGAAGCCCTCTGCCAGTCCAAACCACTCTGTCTTCCACCCCCAGGTCACATTACATTGAGAACTGAGCTTTAAAAAAAAAAAAATTAAAATAAGGCAAAACCAGCAAATGAACATCTTCTCTCTCTCAGAAGCCAGATTTAATCAAGTGAATTTTTTTTCTTCAACAAAAGAAGGGGGAAAGAGGTAATTGTGTCACGCGCAAAGGCAAAACAGGTTTCAGGGAAATGATTGGCATTTTAGCAATCTAATCTCCATCTTTACCTTGAAATAACTCATCAACACTCACCATCCTGGTAATGCTCCATCAGACATTTAAAACATGCTTAGTGTTTGATTGGGTTTTCTTTTGTAAGCCACAAATGTGTATGTACCACAAAAACCACCTATGGTTCTTGCGCCAAGGAAGTCTGTAAGCTTTTTTCCTGGTGAAATGAACCGCATATTATAAAATTTTACATTGATCTTTAAATCCCTTGAGCTGCTCCCCCATTAGTGCGCTTTCGGTTTGCCTCTGTCCAGAGAAGCAACTCTTGGGATCACAAACCTACAAACCTACTGCTTCTCTGGACACAAACTGCCTGCCGCAGTGCAAACAAAACAAAATAAATGAGGTCACAGAAGACAAAAAAAGCACTCAGATGACTAGATACGAAGTGGAAGCCCAGGACACGGAGATGTGCTGATTTTGGTTTCCATCACTAAGGCAGATCTGGTGATTCGAGTTTTATAAATGATTGTCATTTGGGGCTGTAGGTTTTATGCAAAGCTTACCTGAAAATGGAAATTCTCTTTCTGGTACAGGATCTCTTGATGGGATGACAGGGCAAACCTTTGTAACCAATCTGATATTCTCCCCCCCAAAAAGCAAGCAAATGTCCTTCTGTGGGTTCCAAAAGCAGACTCAATTTTGTTTCCCAGAGCCTCTGCTAGTTCCATGCCACAGACCAGGGCACACACAGGAAAGTAGCAGGTACAATTTAAGGAGGCACCCACTCTCAAGGTCCCACTCTCAAGGTCGTGCCAGTGCAGCAAGTGCCAGACAGCTGGGACTGAAGCTTTGCCTTCTTGCTGCCTTGGCTCACCCTGGCTCACCCTAGCCCAGAATCTGCCAGGTACCATCCTTCGCTTCAACAACAAAATCCAGGCCAGTCCTGTGTTGTTCCTCCGGCTCCTCCCTGCCCTTAGTACACAGCTCTCCTGAAGCAGCATCTGGAAAAGTTTGTTGGCAAACTTTAATCTCTTCCACGGATGATCCTAGATCCGAGACAGAGCAGAAAGAACTGGTTAGTTAGTGGAATGACATACAGGAATTTGGTATTTTAAAAATGCCACTCCATTCACAGCGGGAGCTGTCTGTGCTGCCATCCCAAGAAAACCAGGTAACAGGGCTGGGAACAAAGTGCTCTTTGCAAAGTAGCGTTTAAATGAGACCTGATTGCTGAGAGAGAAGAGCCTGGAACTGGGGAGGGGAGTTCTTCCTGCTTGGGTGAAAGCATCTCAATCTTCTAAGTTAACGTGTGGTCTGAGGATTACGTTTTAATTCTGCTTCAACAACCTGGGCATTTATTACTCTAATGTCGCTTGGCAATCTTAAGCAGACAACACGATATTTAAAATAACTTAGTAATGTTATTTTGGTAACTTTAGTTATTTAATAACTCAGTTATTTTAGTAATGTTATTTAGTAACTTAGTAATGTTTATCTGAAATCTGGTTGTGCCTTTGTGAATAACCAATTCTTTGGTGATTGACCACGCCTGGGAAATAAGCCTGAATCTCTTCACACAGAGATTTCTTTTAATTCGTCCCAATCTTTCCAAGAACATGCATTGTAGAATTGTCTATTTTTACAGATTTTTTTTCCCCAGTTCTATCTTCATCTAGAGAGCGTTTTTTATTATTCATTTTTGTTGGGGTTTTGGTTGGTAAGTTTGCTTAACCCTGGTCATAGAAAGGCTGAATTCTGAGTTTGCAAAAATCTCAGTATGATGGGTTTCTTTTCCTGTAATTTTAAATTATTTTTTGTTATGATTTCCCAAACATGCCGCTACAGCAGCAGAGTAGGAAGCAGCATTTAAAACCTTTTTTTCCCCCCCCCCCATTTCATTTCATTGAAACGGACTTGACCAAGGTGAGGATCGGTACCTCTCGCCTCAGCTCAAACTCATAAATATTTCAATCAGCCTCGGATTCCACCGAAAGCTCGACGACAGCCCCGCTTCTCTCACGCCAAGGCTCCTGCCGCCTCCACCACGAACGACCCATCCGGCCCCTTCCCCAGTTTGTTTATAGAAACCTGGGAGGGAGGGAGACGAGAGGCTGGGGGTGGGCAGAACTTGCTCTTGGTTTACATTAAACAAATGACAGGCAAAGAGCTCAAACAACGCCTTCCTTGACCTCGTTCCCTCTCCCTCATTTTAACAAAAAGGGGAAAAAAATATTGTATCGGCAGAGAATGTGAGCGGGGCGGGCAGCGGCCGGGCGCTCCATTCAGGCGGGGACGCGGGAGCGCGGACGATTTCCGCCGCCTTTGTGAGGCGGGGCCGGGGGCGCCGGCGAGTGGGGGGTCCGCGGGGCGGCCCGCGGCGCTGTCAGGCGGCTCAGCGTAATCAGGGCTAATGACGGCGGCCGGGCGCCCGGCGGGACAAAGCGCGGGGCCGCGGGGTTCTGTCGGCCTCAATGGCTAATAGGTCTGCCGGGCCGCCTGCGAGGGGGCGGCGTCGGAGAGGAGGCGGCGGCGAGGGGGGCGAGAGAGGGTCATTGTCCGCGCGCTGGCCGGGGCTGCCTGGCCGCGTCCCGCCGCCGAGAGGCCGCCCCCCGAGCCCGGTGCGCCCCCCGAGCCGGGTGCGACCCCCGAGCCCGGCGCGCCCCACGGAACGGCGCGCCCCCCGAGCCCGGCGCGCCCCACGGAACGGCGCGACCCCCGAGCCCGGTGCGCCCCCCAAGCCCGATGTGACCCCGGAGCCCGGCGCGCCCCACGGAACGGCGCGACCCCCGAGCCCGGTGTGCCCCCCGAGCCCGGCGCGCCCCACAGGACGGCGCGACCCCCGAGCCGGGTACGACCCCGGAGCCCGGTACGACCCCGGAGCCCGGCGCGACCCCCGAGCCCGGCGCGCCCCACAGGACGGCGCGATCCCCGAGCCCGGTGCGCCCCCCGAGCCCGGTGCGCCCCACAGGACGGCGCGCCCCCCGAGCCCAGTGCGCCCCCGAGCCCGGTGCGCCCCACAGGACGGCGCGATCCCCGAGCCCGGTGCGCCCCCCGAGCCCGGTGCGCCCCACGGGACGGCGCGGGCCGGGAGTCCCCCTGGAGGCCTGCGGGAGAACCACGCCAGAGCGGCGGTCGTTTCCCCAGCAGAGGCCGGGGGACCTGGCCCGGGATGCTGAAGGGGAGACGGGGCGACCCGAGACGCCGCGGACGCGCAGACCTCGAGCCACCCTCCCGTGGTTATTGTCACATTCCAGCAGCTCGGGGAGACGCCTCCCCAGACCTGCGGCCGGAAGGCGGCCTTACACCCGAGCGGGAGAGGGACTCGTGCGAGTGCGCGCTCAGCCCCGGGGACCCTCGGACGGCGCCGGGAGGGGAGCGGCCCCGAGCCCGGGCCGAGCGGGAACCCGCGGAGACGCAGCCCCCCGGCCCCGGGCGCCTTCCCGCCGGGCGTCCCAGCAGACTCCGCAGCCGGAGAGGAGGGTGCGGGAGCCTGGCTCTGCGGGGGACCCGGTGTCCGTGACAGCACCCAGGGGCCTCGGCGGGCCCCGCCAGGCTTCCCACGGATGGCTAGGTCTTGGCTGGCAGCCCCTTTGGTGTCATGCAGAATCACAAAATTTCAGACAGTGTCCCCCTCGAGGGAAGGAGCCTGTTCTCTTGCCTGGCTCGCCTTGTTTGGAGACAAAGGGCGGGAAGGGCGATGGCGGGTCAGCGCGGGCAGCGTCTCTCCTCCCGCCCTGGACGTGGCAGGGTCAAGAAGGCCACCCCCTGCCTGGCTGTCGGCCGGTCATCTAACCACCCCCTTTCTCGTGGGCTGTCCTCAGAGAATGTTCCACTTGCTCGGTAATGCTCCCATTGTCCTTTCTTTAGACCTGTGTTTTTGTGTGTTTGCGTCCATGTTCGACT